TTCACGGGTGCAAAGGGCTGGGAGGGGGCAGCGCAGTAATTAGCAAACCCCAGGGGGGTTGGACTGGATGATCTCCTGAGGTCCCTGCCAACCCCACCAGTCTGGGATTCTGTGAGCTGTGAAGCACATCATGTGCCAACTGCCCAGGGCACAAGGAACCTGCAAAGTTTCTCCCAAAGTTTTTTAGCAGCATCCTTAACAGGACTAACCTTTCTTTCTAATCCTCAGAAGAGCTGGTTTAAATTCACTCTTAGGAACATCTGACTCCTGAAGGAAGGATCCTTCACTCTATTGTCACAAGCTTTTAGGTTTGAATTGTAAATAAACGAACACAGAACTCAAAGAGCTGCACTGCCAGCAGAGAGATGGTGTCTAACTCAGCTGAGGAGCCAGGCTGACAGCACAGCAGCCTCATGCTGGAGCACCAGTCCCCAGCCCAGCACAGGTGGGACTGGGAGCCAGGCCCATGGCACTTTTCCTCTTCTCCTTAAGACCTGCGCTCCTCATAACACAACAGTCACAGGCGAGCGGCTTCCAGGCCACACCTGGGATTACATTTAATGAGAGAAACGTGAAAAGAGAGATACCAGTGCTGTGAGCATGGAGACGTGTTCAGACCGAGCAGTTTGCAGCTGAAGCTTTGGGGTGGTCAGTATTCACACTTCACCGGTACACGGCATTAAGCTTCACTTACTAATTAACACAGAAAATATCCAGAGCCATCAGAGAGAGTGGACAGCAGAACAGCACGTGCTTTAATTCCAGGCAATCAAAGGACAGATTAAAAATACCACAGGGTTTGTCAATAAGATGGGATTCCTTTAATAAATCTGCACTTAAGAAGAATATTGTTAAGAGGCATTAAAAACACATAATAAAGCTCAAAGACTCGAGCTTTAAGACCTCTAAGTTTCAACAAGCCAGGTGCTGTGTTTCTATCTCCCTCGACAGCGACATCCCAAACACTTTTACGAGCCAGTGTACGGTGTGTTCCCACTTCCTTCTCAATTCTGCAAAATGCATCACAGCAACAGATGGGAAAATTACGTTTCCCAGTCTCTAAAAACTGACATAGTCTCACTTTTTTTTTTTTTTTAATTTAATCTAAATAATTAATCCATATTTGACAAGAGTCTGAGTGTGGAAATCTTCAAGCTCTAACTCACTTTGAGAAAGCAAGGTGAATAGCAGTCAATCAGAAAAAAAAAACCAGCACCAAAAAACAGGAGCTGAAATTGAGCCTGCACCACAGTTCAAACACAAGGTCCAACAAGGAACCTTGCAAGGCCCAGACAGTTCAGAAAGGA